TGATATAAAAACCTTAAAGGGGCTGTGGTTGTGGACATTTTTGGACTACACTTACATGTATTTTGATCCCCTTCAGAAGAAGAGCTCCATATAAAGATATAATAAAATGAACAAATTTTAAAAGTAAACTTTATGAAATTTTAAATATTTTTCTTCGCCAAATGAAAGTTGACAGCTTAAGATATCATATCCCAAAATTTAAGTTATATCTGGTGGTTAATAAAAAATAATTTGTTGACCCCCTATCCTCCTTAATTGATCTCTATAGGTGCTTAGTAATCAACGTGGATATATAGATATATACCGGTAGCAATAAAGTAAAGTTAAGTTACAGGCCACCGGACCAAATTTTATAAAGTAATTTACATTTACGGATCAAACTCACATATTTAAACTGATACACTGTGAGATAAAGCATTTATTATTTATCAATTGCTACATAATATATTACATTTTCATGAACTTTCCCTGCATACTATGTAAATATAGCCCTTTGATGAGGTCGATCCATAGATATAGAAAACACAGAAAAGCATATCGAGCAAGCACGTATATGCTTTTCCGTGAAGTTGATATATCTATGGATCGATCTCATCAAAGGGCTACATTTCTTTCATTATTTTTTACAGAGGTTGATAAAAAACAATTTGAAAAAATGGGAATAAACCACAGGTTTTCTCTCTGAACACTTAGAGACTAGAAATCAAAATAAATTAATAATCCTCTAAATTACTTAAAAAATGTATTAAAAGGGAATACATATACATGTATATTAAGCAGCTTAATATACATGTACATGTATATGTATTCCCTTTTAATACATTTTTTGAGTAATTTAGAGGATTAACTAGTTGAAAATTTTACAAATGTGCATCTTTTTTAATTGAGTAGATCCTAATTCAGGTCATTGTTACGTCTTATCAGTTACAGAACATAACCAATTTAAATTTAAGTTGAAGAGTATATCTTTTTTAGAAACATCAGGTCAATCATATTTTTTTCTTAGCTATAATTGTGAAATCACTATTATTAATTTTTTTTTCGTCCCCCCTTCCCCCCATTTTTGTTCATTATCTTAAGTAACATTTGCCACTGAACGATTGCTAAGAATATTTCATACTATATCTGTGTTTTACAGAGAGAAAACATAGGTAATCAAAGATTACGAAGCTCACCTCGACGAATGTTATCAGTTTACGTAATGCAAATCTCACATAATATTTTCCTAATATTTAGTATTCATCCCAACAACAATATTCTTGCAAGTTGTGTTTAACCCCTTAGATGGCATAAACACATTTCTATGCATGTAGTGTGAAAAACATGTATATTGTTAACAAATATTCATAACTGTTAATACTGCAGATATCAAGGACTTCAAGTTCATTCCGACAGATCTGTTCCCAAAACTTTAACCTGGTCTCTTGAAAATAAAGGTCAGATCCAGCATCCGAAGCAAGTCTGGTAGTGTCCATCCTTACATGTAGGTGCATCATCCATGCAAGTTTGGTTTAGCTAGGGCTTACAGTTACTTGGGAATGAAAATGTAGGTCAGATCCAGCATCCGAAGCAAGTCTGGTAGTGTCCATCCCTAGATACATCATCAATGCAAGTTTCGTTCAGGTAGAGGCTTATAGTTACTTGGGAATGAAAATGTACATTAGATCCAGCATCCGTAGCAAGTCTGGTAGTGTCCATCCTTAGATGCATCATCCTTGCAAGTTTGGTCCAAATAGGGCTTATAGTTACTTGGGAATGAAAATGTAGGTCAGATCCAGCATCCAGAGCTAGTCTTTTAGTGTACATCCCTAGATACATCATCCATGCAAGTTTGGTTCAGGTAGGGCTTATAGTTCCTTGGGAATGAAAATGTAGGTCAGATCCAGAATCCGAAGCAAGTCTGGTAGTGTCCATCCCTAGATGCATCATCCATGCAAGTTTGGTCCAAATAGGGCTTTAAGTTCTTGTGGAATTGACCTTCTCCAAAAATTTTAACCTGGTCACTCATCTGGAAAATGTAGGTCAGATCCAGCATCCGAAGCAAGTTTCGTAGTGTCCCTTCCTAGATGCATCATCCATGCAAGTTTGGTCCAGGTAGGGCTTATAGTTCCTTGGGAATAGACCTGCTCCAAAAACTTTAACCTGGTCACTCATCTAGAAAATGTAGGTCAGATCCAGCATCCGAAGCAAGTCTGGTAGTGTACATCCCTAGATGCATCATCCATGCAAGTTTGGTTCAGGTAGGGCTTATAGTTCCTAGGGAATGGACCTGCTCCAAAAACTTTAACCTGCTCCAAAAACTTTAACCTGGTCACTCATCTAGAAAATGTAGGTCAGATCCAGCATCCGAAGCAAGTCTGGTATTGTACATCCCTAGATGCATCATCCATGCAAGTTTGGTTCAGCTAGGGCTTATAGTTACTTGGGAATGGACTTGCTCCTAAAACTTTAACCTGCTAACGCCGACGCCGACGCCGACGCCGGGGGTATAGCATAAGCT